TAGAGTAAACTCTACATTTCCTTAGAATTCACATTTAAATAGTTCCCGTTTTGCGGCAGATAACATACCTTTTTTCCTGTGTCAGGATCCCACTGAAATTTCAGTAACTAAATTACAAATAAAATTAGCCTGTTGAAGTAAAAAGAGAGGAGAATAGAAAACAGCCAATAAAAACACAGAGAGACAATGAAGGTCTGACAATTGACACGGCATAGAGGATGGAGTTGTGACGTAAGTATCAGCAGAGCAAGATTTATCAAGAGGAGAAGCTAATCTGTGTCACTATGAATCTCATAAGGGTCAGTATTTGGAGGCACCAAGAGCCAAAGAAGGTAGGGAATGAGACTGAAAAGGGAGGGTCTCCTGCCCAGGTTTCCTCCATGACTCCTTTTATCAGGTACATGATTTTTTCCCACTGGAAAAGGGAAGCACAGTCTCCAGAGAAACTGAGCCTAAGAACCCCTGTACTCGGGGACACTTTACAGGGCCAGGAAAGTGTGAGGTGTGAAGCCAGAAAAAAAAGCTTTGGGAAATATCTATTCCTCAGATTCAAAGACTCAGCACTTTTCTTCATCTTGCTTCCTGACATTCAGCAGCTAGATATTCTCCAGAGAAGAAACAAGTCTGGAGAAAAGACCTCCGTATTTTGCTATCTTAATAGAAAGTTATCTACAAGTGTTCAGCAGAGTGAATGAAATTAAAACATCCATCACAGGACACAAAGTCATGGAATTTCAGAGCACCAGAAGTAAATGGAAAATTAAAATCTTTCAGAGAGTTATATCAAGTCATATATAAAATACCAGCATTCAGACAGCATCAGAATTCTCAAGTATATTATCTTCTGTATTCATAGAAAAAAAGTATTTGGGAACTACATGCTTGTTACAAATTTCACCCTCTATACTAACTCTCTCCAATACTGGGGATTGTGCTCTATCTCACATCTGAAACCAAGTCAGAAGAAATTAAGGGTGCCAGGAATCAGGAGACCCCATGTAAGAGAATGAGAGCGTCAGAGAGGCTGCTGGGCTCCTAGGAAACAACCACTTCAGAAGGGAACAGGTAAATAATACACGTAGAGGAGACTTCAAGAACCAAAGAGATGTGATTGATAGTCTGAGATTTCCCTATAATTGAGAAATTATTACTAGGAGTTTCAAACATGTACAAATACTCTAACTTGAAGAATAGAAAATTGTGATTTAACTAAAGAACCAAGGAAGAATATGTGTGTGTGTGTATATGTGTGTGTGTGTTTGTGTGAGTATATTTAGAATGATATAAACATGAATAGTGATATAACTAGAAATTGTGGTCTAAATGTATCCTGGTAAGTAGAAGGAGGAGAATTGTGTGTGTGTAGATGTGTGTATGTGTCTGTGTGTACACATACAACTTTGTGGGCGTGTGTCTATACACGGAATAGAGATGGAGATAAAAATTCTCATCTCACATACCAGAAAATCATTAAATATTGTCTAAAAATTGTTAAGTAAAAAATAGAAAGAAATAGTGGTTATTTAGAAATGTAAATATAAATTTCAGAAGAAGCTGCTAGCATGCTCAAAATGGCCACAATTGGGAAGTGGAAAAATGAAGACAGTACCAGTGCTAATTGCATCACTGCCCCTGCCCCACCACCGCACACACAAATATATTTACAAAATCATTACAATTTAACGTTATACCCCATATATTATTTTGATAATACACATAATATTTGATTTCTGTTTTTCTGTTTGCAAGCACTGTAATTTCTTGACTTATTATGTTTTATTTTTAAAATATTTATTGCTTAAATTTGTATTAGTTGTCATATATGCTAATTTATAGAAATGTACTTGTGCACTGTAATGACTAGTTTGTAGGAGAACGGTATGTGTCTATATTACAGTAATCCTTTTTATATGGCTGGTTGTACTTCTGCACATGTAACTCATGTTTGTAATATTGCTGGGATTTTTACATCATGTTTAATGTGACCATGAATTGCTATGACAAATGTTCCATATATCTCCATTTCCATCAGTTCTTTCTTGTGTCTTGTCAGCTAAAGTCCAGGAAGAGATTGTTCATGTAATTGGCAGACACAGGAGCCCCTGCATGCAGGATAGGAGCCACATGCCTTACACAGATGCTGTAGTACATGAGATCCAGAGATACATTGACCTTGTCCCCACCGGTGTGCCCCATGCAGTGACCACTGATATTAAGTTCAGAAACTACCTTATCCCTAAGGTAAGCTTGTTTCTCTCACACTATATTTCTGTGCTTCTGAAATTTCCAAAGTGCTAGTTTAGCTCCAATCCTCTAACAACAGAAGATGAGAGAAGTGCAAAACTCATACATGTGGCAGCTTGATGGACTTTCTGCTATTTTGTTTGGGGCTATAAAGATTTATAAAGCTAGGTCTCCTCAATAGGCTACTCTTAGGTGTTTATACTTTCAAATAATTGTTGAAAGTATCAGTGTGTCAATTTCCCAAAACACTCTTCTGAGATTTTTATCAAAGTGACATTCATTGTGTAGTTCAATATGGAAAGACTTAACATGCTCATGCATTAAATATTTTAATTCATGAATATGGTTATGCTCCCAACTTATTGAGCTTTATTCTATTTTCTCAGTAATGTTTTCTTTTCAGTGCCAGTGGCTTACAACTCTTTTATTAGGTTTTTCCTAGATAATTAATATTTTGTTGTTATAAAATTTTAATGCTTTTTTATTTCTTTGTAATTGGTATATGTAATTGTGTTCAATTATACTATTTTGATGACCTTATATCTAACAAATTTCCTAAATTTACCGATCATTGCTAATAATTTATCTGTAGATATACTTGGAAATTCCACGTACATTATTTTGCTATCTGGGTTAATATGTATTTTATTTCTTATTTTCCTGTGATTTTTGTCTTCAATTTGTCTTTATTGCATTACTGCACTGGCTAGGATTTCCAGGATAGCATTGAATAGAATTGGTGATAGAGGGCATCCTTATTTCATTTCTGATCTGCTGGGGGGTAGACTACAAGAATATTAATATTTCACTA